CATTTAATTTTGTCTCCTGCTTTGCCTAGTCTCCGAGTTACAACTTGTTTTCATAGACGCTTCTGTCACAATTGATTGGTGTCGTTAGGCCCTATTTGTATAATGACTGATCCAAATTGATCCCATTTCTGTGTTTTTTTTACCTCGATATTCAATCATGTCATGTAAAAATCTGTTTGTATTCTCAAAACAGTGTCGGCCCATAAGTTTTCACATGCAATACAGCAATTAATACTCCCTTGTTGTAACCCGTGTTAGGTGGTATAAACCTACACATGTTATTTGTCATCATTCACTTGATGGTCAGTTAATGAATTTATAACAGGTATAATTAGTGGTAACACACCTAGATTACCCGACAAAGGTTGCCATTTGGCATTTCTTGTGTCTGGAGTAAATATTCAACATTATGAACATCGATCAAAGGATTAACCGATAACACGCTGATTGATTAATTACTTTTATCTTACACAGCGGAATTGTCAAAAGGTAGTGTTTATGTATGTAGATTTACTAATCTATACTGAATACACTCTGCCGTGTCGGTGTCTGCGTAAAAACAACGTCCTTCTTTCAAAGGATTAACCGGCAATACATTGATTGATTGCCCATTATTGGCTAACTAAATTACCGTTTTTAATGAATGGCGGACATTATGCAATTAGTTGCCAGGTGTGCTATCTTGGGTGACCAATGAGACTATACCCCAATACCTGAAAAGATTTATCACTTTTTCGTATATTAAACTGTTAAAAGACACATCATTTGGATAAGTTTTGTGGATATTGATGGATACATTCCTCAAACAAGGTAAGGCCTGATATTGTTCCTATAACTTTAATCTGTTTTAATTTTAATATTTGCATTTTGTTTTTTAATCATTTGTCGTAGCATTCAACAGAATCATTGTTTTCGCCGTGAAGTGTAATGAGACAGACAACATACACTAGGGTGTGTGTGCGAATTATGATTCACATTGGCAAACTATAAAATGTCTAGATATTACAGTTCTGTTATAAATTCACTATAAGTATCAGCAGATCGTCTGCTTTTTATTTAGTTTCAAAATGCATAAAAGTATGATAATAAACTAATTAGGATTATAAGACCAAATATAAAGACGCACATTGACTAGTTGTGTCATGCAAAACCCTTTTGGTTATGATTCCAATACATATTTAACTACGAGTAGAAAGTAGTTTTGATTTTCTAACTTGATGAAAACAAACTATAATCTCATTAATTCTAACAGACTTTACGATTTTCAAAAATGGCGGCGCCCTGTCGGGAACATCCGCCAGTCTGTGGATAAATGCTATTTAGGTTTGTTTTCACCGAGTTACAAAATCAAAACTACTTTCTACTGGTAGTAACATATGTATTTTATTGATGGCCAATAGGATTTTGCATGACATAGCGTATAACATGACAATTTCTCTCCTGGCAGCGAGGTGGGTGTCAATATAATACTACTTACAGTATTATTGTTACTTCGACCACAACCTCACTTCCGAGGAAGAAATCGTTATGTTACAGGTTGTGTTATGGAAAATCTTTATGGTCATCAATCATATACATATTTTACTATAACTAGTAAGTAGTTTTGATTCTTTAACTTCCGTGAAGCGATCTGAACACAAGTAAGATATCGTTTCAGGCTTCCACAACGCTCGCTTCGCACTCACAAACATAACCCATTTAGCACGAACTGCGGGGTCCTGTGGAAATCTGTGCATGGTGACACCATCACCCGACCCCTAGAAGCAATTGACGACAAAGCAACGATTCGGCATGTCGTTGTTCATGTCGAGAAATCATCAAAATGATGAGCGTGCTACACACTTTCTATACAACTAACTGAAAATCGTTCCTCATATGACGTCACTGAGTTACGTAAGGGAAGCAGGCGACTTTTTGGCCACTTTTAATCGCTCGATATTAATTAACCACAAGTTTTTAAAGAATGAATTTGGTGTTCCGCATAAGACTAACCACAAATCTTTCATATGTAATGGTTAAAAGAGTAACAAAAAACAAAGTTTAGTGGTTCTTTAAAAACATGAGTGAGTGAGTGAGTTTAGTTTTACGCCGTTTTAGCAATATTCCAGCAATATAAGGTCGGGAGACACAAGAAATGGGTTTCACACATTGTACCCATGTGGGAATCGAACTTGGGTCTTCGGCGTGACGAGCGAACGCTTTAACCACTTGGCTACATCCACACACCCACCCCGTTTTCCAATGGAAATCTGTATTTGGATAACTGTTTCCTGTTGAAAATGGCATTGCAGACAAGCAGATGCAGCGTTTCATAGGGCGGAGGGTAGCCTAGTGGTTAAAGCGTTCGCTTGTCACCCCGAAGACCCGGGTTCGAATCCGCACATGGGTACAATGTTTGAAGCCCATTTCTGCTGCCTCCCGCCGTTATATTGCTGGAATAATGCTCAGAGCAGCATAAAACCTGACCCGACTCAGTGTCTCATGTCAATCTGAATGCATTTGAGTGACAATGTATGCATGTTTGATCCGATGTATCCATGCATTTACAGCAGCATGCTGACTTCAGCATTCCGACAGATGGAATGTGTGTTATATTCTAATTACCAGCATAATCAATAGCGGAGCACATCATGTTTCCCGTCCAGCATAAAGCTGTCGGTAATGATAGCATCGTGACTTCTAAATACATTAGCGATGTACATGTATTGTTTTTTCGTATGGCTCAACTAATAGGATGTAATAAATACATGTGCAAGGGGCAGTGGGATAGTCTACTGGTTACAGCGTCCGCTCGTCACGTCGAAGACCCGGATTCGATTCCCCACATGCATGGGCACAATGTGTGAAGCCCATTTCTGGTGTCCCCCGCCGTGAATGTTGCTAAAAGCGGCGCAAAACCAAACTCACTCACTCTCTCAAATATATGTGCATGTATAAGAGTTAAAGTTATCGTTCGTCGAAGTATAGGCATAAGGTACAGATTAAATGGTGCTGTGGAATTTCTTAAAATTATGGAATTGGATTTGATGCTTTTTTTCACAGCGGGAACACAAAAAATAGGCCTCACACATTGTAGCCATCTGGGGAATCGAACTTGGGGCTTCAGCGTGACGAGCGAAGGCTTTAACCACTAGGCTACCCCACGGCCCTCAATGCCTTACAAAAGCAGCCAGTTTATCGAGTGTATCTTACTACACTTAAGGCTTACCAAAATGGTTCTACCTCTACAAATTCACTTACAAACGTTTGTAAGTTTCTGGCTCTGTATGTATTATAAGGCAACCCTGACAATACCAAGGCATGATTGACCGCCTCCGTGGTGTAGTGCTTAGAGCGTCCGCCCGGAGTGCGGAAGGTCGCGGCTTCGATCCCCGACGGCGTCATACCAAAAGACGTTAAAATATGGTACTTGTTGGTCCCTGCCTGTCGCTCGGCATTAATGGGTACAACAAGGACAGGTCAGCTCGGAGTCAGTATAATGTGTCTGAGTGGGGTATTCAGGCTTCACTGCGGTATGATATCTCAGTGGGCTAGCACTATAAAACCAGCTTAAGTCTGGGCTAGTACAAGCAGCCGCACATACACATACAAACACATGCACGTCGTATGAGCGAAATATTCTCAAGCACGACGTTAAACCCAATTTCACCTCACCTCACCAAGGCATGATTACATATATCCCGTTTGATAACTAGTTCTGTGTGTGTGCATGTATTGTGTTGTGTGGCTAAGCTGCAGACAGCTAGATAACGGCAACTAGTATATAATCAAATCTGGACCAGACAAGGAGCAAGTTCCAACATCATCGAGTTGAGACGGCACCAAGTCAAAAGTTACCACCGCTGACCACCTGATCCATTTAGGCGCATTATATGGCAAGCACACATATAGACGATGTAGTTCTTATATTGGAATCCCACGCCATGTATTGTTATGAGAATATACCTTTATTTTTCTTCCATAAAGAGAATATCACATATATGTATCTAACGAAAAAAACACCCAACCCTACATTCACCTGTACTGTATAACCCGTGAAGATCCGTGTTAAAATTGGTCTTCAGTAACCCATGCTTGTCGTGAGAGGCGACTAACGGGATCAGGTGGTCAGACTCGCTGACTTGGTTGACACATGTCATCGTATCCCTATTGTGTTGATTGATGCTCATGCTGTTGATCACTGGATTGTCTGGTCCAGACTCGGTTGTTCACTGACCACCGCCATATAACTGGAATATTGCTGAGTGGGGCGTTAAACAACCAACCAACCAACCTTACTATACTTGGGATTATCACTGAAGCTGTTTACCAGGGACACAACTTTCCTTTGTCATGTTCCTGCTGAGGTAAGCCGACAAGAAAGGGGATGACCTTACCTTAGCGTGGCTATTTGTCTTTATCAGGATAGCTGAACACAAAGTATTCAGTTCCCATGTCGGCGGCGAATGAAACTTAGAATATGCCACGTCGGCATTATGTGAACAAAGTACTTTGTGCCTGAAATTTCCTTATGATGGATTTATGTAATGTGATGATATTCAGTGGATCTTGTTGGGACATTAAACATGATGATATCAAGTAAGACTTTTTAACTATTTTTCGATGATACTGGAGTATATATAGTAGTGCAGATAACGGAACTAAAGTGAAATTGAAATTAAACATCTGGATGAAAAATATCTGCCAAAATAGATAGTAAAAGATAATATTATTGTATAACCACTGGCAGCCATCTTGGCTTTTTGAGTGGCCAACGTTATTTTCTGAACAGGGAGTCCAAGGTGAACAATCATGCCAATGTTGGAGCTTGTATTTTGGCCTGTTATCTGCCCTACTGATATTGTAAAAGAGACTCATTCTGCCAGATATTTAAACTGTTCTTAACTTGTTGTGTGATCTCTCTTTGTTATGCATGGAGACCCTATGATGGATCTATTCATACTGATACATAAAGAAAAATATTATTCTTACAGAAATGTCTTTTGAACAGGACAAACACATTTTCATGTAAATTGCTTTATTGTAAGAGAAACTCAATCCCCTTGAAAAGGTATGAATACATTAACAGCTTGGCAATGAACAAACAGCACGTTTTATTTCTCGTCATTACATAAAACATATAAAATAGATGAGAGGAATAGATTTAACCATCATACTTAAAATATATAACATAATCAAGTTCCTAAAATTTCAAATGTCAAAGATCAAGTCTGAAAAATAAAAACATATTTTCCTTAGGCGATGATTTTGCAAAACGAACGAGTATGTGAATTGGGTTTTACACTTGTTAGCAATATTCCAGCAATATCACGCTGGATTTTGCACAAAGAAGCTTCTACAGCTGCAGCCAGTCGATGAAGTTGGCTTGTTTGGATGAAGACACTGCTTGGCAATAAAAACATGTTTTCGGATTAATGATCACTATGAAGATTGTGAACATGAAATTAAATATATTGAACAGTACTGATGTTTCTAAGTGGATAATGAGTAGGATTGTGATTTTATTGCTGACAAACCGACAAACATTATGGGCTTTATGATCACAATGGACATGAAATTAAATTCATGTATACTGTACAGTTTATGATGTAGTCAGGTTGCTTGTGTAGAATGTGGGCATCCTCGTCAACATGGTGATACTATCAACACTCTTGTTCTTAGAATGGATGAGTTGGGTTTCACACGGTATTTCAGTGATGTCAGGGTGAGTAAAAGAACGCAGAAAGCAAATAAATTTAGTAAAACCTATGAGCACTGTGCTCAGAGATCCTGGGACATGATCCTAGAATTGAACCTATTACAAGCAGATAATCCAAGCAAAGGGACACAACTCTGCAACACCCTTCCCACCCCTACCCGTCAAGCAAGGCCAGACATCACAATTATTCTCTCATTCCCTGGCTTTTTCCAAACATGTTAAAATAGTAAAACAGTAAAAAAATGATTTTTTACAGATGACTGTTCAAAAAATGATCCTTATGAAATTGTACACCCAATAACTACAGAATATTTACATGTTCAACAGCATGTAGACAAGAGAAATATCAAAGACAGACTCCGAAGGGTCTTAACTCCTCCTTGTCTGTGGAATCTGATTTGGGTAACATTTGGTAGATGACTTCCATCCCTTACGGTTTCAAGTTGGAGCCTGATTTTGTTCCGAGTCCCAAGTTACAGAGTTGCTCAGCTTAATGGTCCTCATCAGCATTGGAATCTCGGCAACATTCACATGACAGTAATGGGTTCTGACATCAGTACATGGCCATACATTGTGGACTGTTGACCCCATGAAGGTCTCAGCTCAGTTACCATAACTCCTGATTTGTCATAGACTTACAAAGGTCAGTAGTTCTTGAAATCATTGAGGGTCTTCATAGTCAGAGTCCTCCAGAACTCGATCAACTATTGGTTTGTTTAATGCCCTCCCTGTATCTGACTGTATTATATACAGCTTCTCGTAACCATGTTGTCTCTGAGGACCATGGTATGTAGTTCGACAGGCTAATGCTGTGACGATGCCTGCACTTCACTTGATGTCCATAAACTGGATGTCCATGACGAACAGGTTGGTGTTGGGTAGTGGGGGAGCACCGGGGGACAGCACATTGAACGTCCCTTTCTCCATGTTCACTGACGTCCTGCAACACAAACACTGGTCAGACAATGGCTTTATCAGGCTGACTTTGTGGGTTTGTGATTGAGTGTTTGCGTGAGAGGCTGATTGAGTTATCTGTTTTTCTAATAAAAAACACACACATTTTGATATTGCTAATGTAAATCCAGACGTGATGAGGATATGTTTTAGAAGGGGGAATGACATGAATAAATGTTACATAAGAAAAATATGACATAGCTGTGGGATCAATTCCCCTCTCCTGTGAGTGAGTGAGTTTAGTTTTATACCGCTTTTAGCAATATTCCAGCAATATCATGGTGGGAGACACCAGGAATGGGCTTCACACATTGTACCCATGTGGGTACCCATTGAACCCAGGTCTTCAGAGCGCAGAGCGAACACTTTAACCATTAGGCCATCTGTTTTAACCATTTGTTCAGTGAACACTCTGCCCAATATCTATAATGCCCAAACTACTGGGTGACTGTTATTTGCCATCCCATGTACTCACACAACAATAAACCCCAGAGTGTTTGATTCAATCATGGTCTGCTCGATGGTGGTGGAGGAGTTGATGCTGAGGACGTGGTGGAGGATGTTGTTACCTGCAACATACAACACAGGTGAACAGACATAGGTGAACAGTAACATGTGAAGAGAGACACTAGTAAACAGAGACACTGGTGAACAGAGAGAAGTGAAGAGAGACAAATTTGAACAGAGAGACATGAGAACAGAGACACAGGTGAACAGAGACACAGGTGAACAGAGAGACAGGAGAACAGAGAGACAGGTGAACAGAGAAACTGGAGAACAGAGAGACAGGTGAACAGAGACAGGTGAACAGAGAGACAGGAGAACAGAGAAACTGGAGAACAGAGAGACAGGAGAACAGAGACACAGGAGAACAGAGAGACAGGAGAACAGAGAGACAGGAGAACAGAGAAACTGGAGAACAGAGAGACAGGAGAACAGAGAGACAGGAGAACAGAGAGACAGGAGAACAGAGAGACAGGAGAACAGAGAAACTGGAGAACAGAGAGACAGGAGAACAGAGAGACAGGAGAACAGAGAAACTGGTGAACAGAGAGACAGGAGAACACTGGAGAACAGAGAGACAGGAGAACAGAGAGAACAGGAGAACAGAGACAGGAGAACAGAGAGAACAGAGAGAGGAGAACAGAGAAACAGGAGAACAGAGAGACAGGAGAACAGAGACACTGGAGAACAGAGAACAGGAGAGAACAGAGACAGGAGAACAGAGACACAGGAGAACAGAGAGACAGGAGAACAGAGAACACTGGAGAGACAGGAGAACAGAGACAGGAGAACAGAGAGACAGGAGAACAGAGAGAGACAGGAGACAGGAGAACAGAGAGACAGGAGAACAGGAGAACACAGGAGAACAGAGAAACAGGAGAACACAGAACAGAGAGACAGGAGAACAGAGAGACAGGAGAGGAGAACAGGAGAACACTGGAGAACAGACAGGAGAACAGGAGGAGAACAGAGACACTGAGACAGGAGAACAGAGACAGAGAACTGGAGAGAGAACAGAACAGAGACAGGAGAACAGAGAGACATGTGAAGGGAGACACTGGAGAACAGAGACACAGGTGAACAGAGAGACAGGAAAACAGAGAGACAGGTGAACGGAGACTGGAGAACAGACACAGGTGAACAGAGACATGTAAACAAAGACAAGGGAAAAGATAAATCTGAACAGAGACAAGTGAACAGATACAAGGCGAACTGAGACACAGCAAGTGGAAAAGTGCCAGGGGAACAGAGACAGAAGTGGACAAAAAACAGGTGAATGTACAGTATTCTCGTGGCATGTACATTGTGATGTACTTATACATTTTTTCAATGAAATGTTTTAAACATCAATACAGCTCCTCACTAAATTCCCATATACTCTGATGAACAAATCATGATGGTGTGAAGGAGACAACTCACTGGGAAGCAGGGGCACCAGCTTGGTCTTGTTGTCCTGGGCCTTCATCCCCAGGGGGAGGCACGACTCTGGCAGGGGCGGTGCTGGCAACACAACACAACTCCGGTGACATCATCAACAACACACATCTGCACAGCTTCTACATTGCTTTGAGGTGAGGTGAAATGGGGTTTAACATTGTACTTGAGAATGTTTCAGTCATATGACAACGTGCATGCGTGTGTATGTGCATGTGTGGCTGCTTGTACTAGTCCAGACTGAAGCTGGTTTTATAGTGCTAGCCCACTGAGATACCATGCCGCAGTGAAGCATGAATACCCCACTCAGACACATTATACTGACTCCGAGCCGACCAGTCCTTGTTGTACCCATTAATGCCAACGCCAGGCAGGGACCAACAAGTACCATATTTTAACGTCTTTTGGTATGATGCGGTCGGGGATTGAACCCACGACCTTCCGCTCTCCGGGTGGACAATCTAACCACTACACCACAGAGGCGGTCTCTTTGCTTGAACAGTACTACAACCATATTAGAGCAAACCGTCATAAACAAACATTAACATTTGCATTATGGTCTTTTGGTTTTGTCAAGAAGCACTGAAGTACAATGGACCCCTAAACTACAAGGTTTAAACTCGATTTTACTTGTTTATGGAAGATGGAAAATAAGAATGCTGGTTGTGCACTTGTTTCAAATGCAGCCTGAAATCATAGATCATGTTAGACTTTGTACTTGCAAACTGTTACAGGGACTCTATACATAGTGAGGATGGGAACATTTCAGCCCACTTGGTTACTAGAGAGAGGTGAGGTGAAATTGGGTTTTATGTCGTACTTGAGAATATTTCGCTGATATGACGATGTGCATGCGTGTGTATGTGTATGTGCTGCTGCTTGTACTGGCCCAGACTTACGCTGGTTTTATAGTGCTAGCCCACTGAGATACCATGCCACAGTGAAGCATGAATACCCCACTCAGACACATTATACTGACTCCGAGCCGACCAGTCCTTGTTGTACCCATTAATGCCGAGCGCCAGGCAGGGACCAACAAGTATAATATTTTAACGTCGTTTGGTATGACGTGGTCGGGGATCGAACCCGTGACCTTCCGCTCTCCGGGTGGACGCTCCAACCACTACACCACGGAGGCGGTCTACTATAGGGAGGGAGAAATTACACAGGAAATACTGTATCGAACATTAGAGGGTGGCTCTTAATGGATCATGGTGCTTTAGTTATCTAGGCAATCGCTCTTAATCATAATTTCTCTGATTACCTCCAATCTTAAATATTTTGACATCTGCAAACTTGACCTCAAACGTGTGAGGGTAGAGAGTGTTCTTGATGCCGTAGAAGTATTCCCGAACCTTGGCGTCTCTGCTCTCTGCTCGCACGTGTGTTGATCGCTCAACTACCTGATGTGGGAAACAAGAACACATATTGATTTAAAATATTATACCCAGATATTAAATATACTTGAAATTCAGTGAGTGTCTGAGGCAAATGTATAAAGGTCAATGAACTAATGTTAGTTTGTGCTCGGCTTTATTGCCAGCTCGGAGTAGTGTTAACCAGTTTGATGGTGCTGGCAAAATAACTATAATAATCAGTTACTCAACATGCTCAAACCGACAGTCTACACACTTCGGCATACCTCCCCTCGATATGATGCTCTGGATCCATGCAATAAGATTCAATACATTGTAGTCCAAATAACTAAAACTGTTCCCTGGATGCAACAACACATGATATAATGTTGTCTATATGACACATACTGGTCCCAAAGGTGCATCAAGTCACACTATATCATAGTCTATATGACCCACACTCATCCACAAGATGCATCTATAGTCCGTTTGCTTCAAAAGCGGACCGATGAATTGCAAAAAATAAAAAAGTTGTTTAACAAACTATCATTAAAATATTGACACAGTTCACTGTTTGTTACGAGGGAGTACTGCAGAGAAAGGGACAGCCAGGTGTTCGAGAACGGATGGAGACGGCACAGCACAGGTGAATGAATAAATAACTTTGTCTGTGAACGTGCTTTCGAACACCTGGCTGTCCCTTTCTCTGCACTCCTCCCTCGTAACAAACAGTGAACTGTGTCAATATTTTAATGATAGTTTGTTAAACAACTTTTTTATTTTTAGGACAAAAATTCTGCAAAAACCTCACAGAGTGGGTATGATGTTTTGATTATGATCAGCATTTCATTGAGTATGTTATGTTTATTAGTTTTCGACTTAGATTGCAATTCATCGGTCCGCTTTTGAGCCAAACGGACTGTATATGTGATACATCGCAGGACATTGACTGGCAACTGACCCCTCCTGACTTCGGCAGCAGGATGACCTTGACAAATTCAGGCATGTCCCGCTTCATCTCGTTATACAACCGCTCCTGGTCCAACACAATCACAGCATCAACTGCGAAAAAACAAGGGAGATAACTGCAGGTAAATAGGGGAGATAACTACAGGTAAGATGAGAGTGAGTGCAGTTTTACACTGCCTTCAGCGATATTCAATCAATATATATTTATCAAATCATGGGTGAGAGATCTGGTGACATGAGAGGTTTAGATAATGACACCACTTACAATATAAGGTTTGGTGGTGAATGGGTCCAGTATTTTTCAAATAAAAGCAGTTACGCTATCAGTTAAAGGTGAAGGTCTACTAGAAGATGCAGATGAGGAGATTGTGAATAGGTCTTGGATATACACTGGTGGTATAAAAGAAAGGAGATATCATACACTAGAGATCCAAAGTTTTCACTCTAACACAGAAACAATGAAGCCAGTACTCGAACCTTCAAAGGCTCCTGCAGCTTGTTTTATAGACTCGTATCCTCCTCCTCGTATCCAACCCCCAGTGTTGATGATAACACCACTTATATTGGCTGAAACACACACGGCAGATCTTGGTCTTAATTACCTGATCTAGACATAAAAAGATTAGGTATAACACAGATATTAAGAATTAAAATTAGCATCAAGCATGAAAACAGTTGAAAAATTCATAAATTGCAATTTAATTCCATAACCTGCTGTCATGAGGTGGTTGTGTTACTACTGATGTTGATAACTATCTAGTTTATTCTGGCCTAATATTTTAAGCCATCAAAACCTTAAACAGAGTAGCAATTAAACAAACCACACCCAGATCAGGTTACTTGAGTGGTGAGAATTTCCCTTAGTTCAATGATGGCAATGAATTGAGTGAGTGAGTTTAGTTTTACGCAGCTTTTAGCAATATTCCAACAATATCACGAGGGGGACACCAGAAATGGGCTCCACACATTGTACTAGTGTTGGGAATTGGCTAAAAGCTCATAATTGATGATTGGTCCATTACAATCATCGAAAATAATTGGTTAGCGACATTTATCAAATGTTCTTGTTATCTTTGTTAATGCACAAAAAACTAAAGAAACAATGTGTAGTTCTTTGAAGTTTTGTTTTTCAAATTGCACAAAATGCATTTGCAAATGTCACATCTATAAAGGAGGACTAGTATGTTAGGAACATAATTTTCCTGAAGTCTTTTAGATAAATTCAAGAGCTTATGAAATGTAAATTTAGTGACACAGACAAAACTAACCTTATGAAAAATATTGTTGATGCAAACAAGTGTTCCAAAATTGTTTGTGTTCAGATCATGAGAAAACATGTTCGATTGCTTGGTCGTTTTGGTCACTGCGACCAATCTTCGATTATTTCAATTAATCGGACCACCACTACATTGTACCCATGGAAATGGAACCCAGGCCTTTGGCGTGATGAGGGAACAATTTAACCACTAGGCTACCCCTCCACCCCTGGGGGACATGAAAGTGCGGTTAGCTTGCCTTTGTTGCTGGATTCACACCGGAGATTGATGACATCAGCAAGACGCGACACCAGGAGATTGAAGAGCGTGATATTCTCGCTTGGAGACTTGTGACCGACGTGGAAACAGAGAGGCGCCGCTTCTGAGAACCCCTCCTCCACATCAGCAGGACGCTCAACCACGATGGCACCTGCAACAATGTGAACAATGTCACCTATTTAGTAAGGGAGTTAAAATTGAATAACTGGCATCAGAAATATCACAAGTATCAGGGACATAACCAACATTTTAGCTGTGAGACTGACTAACCTTAGTCCTGTGGTTTTCAAGACTCACCTATTGTTCCTGGGATTCCGATCTGATTCTGAAAAACCAGAACAAGTTTTGAGGTAAATACTACTTCCACAAGCAGACGTGATCTGTACACAGACATGACCATAAAGAAACATATTTAGTTTCCATTTAAGTTTGAAACTCATCCAGACAGAAGTTCAGTCACCTATAACATGGAGGCTGCTGGAGTGAGTGAGTGAGTGAGTGAGTGAGTGAGTGAGTGAGTGAGTGAGTGAGTGAGTGAGTGAGTGAGTGAGTGAGTGAGTGAGTGAGTGAGTGAGTGAGTGAGTGAGTGAGTGAGTGAGTGAGTGAGTGAGTGAGTGAGTGAGTGAGTGAGTGAGTGAGTGAGTGAGTGAGTGAGTTTAGTTTTACGCCACACTCAGCAATATGGCGGCGGTCTGTAAATATGGACAAGACAATCCAGGCATCAAAAGTATGAACATCGATCTACGCAACTGGGATATGATGACATGTGTCAACCAAGTCAGCGAGCCTGACCACCCGATCCGATTAGTGGACTCTTTCGACAAGCATGGGTTACTGAAAATCAATTCTAACCCGGATCTTTATGGGTAAGCTGGTATAATAAAGAAAGACATTATCAGTATTGTTTTCATCCAGACTGCCTCCGTGGGGTAGCCCTGTGGTTAAAGCATTCGCTCGTCATGTCGAACATCAGGGTTTGACTCCCAACATGGGTATAATGTATAAAGCTCATTTCTCACTGTAGTGAGATAGTGAGTGAATGTTGTGGTGAGCCTGTAATCTGTATCCCGGCGGACTGTAGGTCATGGATCACTGATGTATTGCAGGAGCTGCTGCATACATTATCACATGTAACAAGGGACCGCCTCCGTGGTGTAGTGGTTAGAGCGTCCGCCCGGAGAGCGGAAGGTCGTGGGTTCGATCCCCAACCGCGTCATACCAAAAGACGTTAAAATATGGTACTTGTTGGTCCCTGCCTGGCGCTCGGCATTAATGGGTACAACAAGGACTGATCGGCTCGGAGTCAGTTTAATGTGTCTGAGTGGGGTATTCATGCTTCACTGAGGCATGGTATCTCAGTGGTCTAGCACTATAAAACCAGCTTCAGTCTGGGCTAGTACAAGCAGCCGCACATACACATACACACGCATGCATGTCGTCATATGAGCGAAATATTCTCAAGCACGACGTTAAACCCAATTTCACCTCACCTCACCTCACATGTAACTATATGGATGTTAGTTTTAGCAATATTCCAGCAGCAACACGACAGGGGACACCAGAAATAGGCTTCATTACCATGTGGGGAATCTAACCCAAGTCTTCTGCATGATGAGTGAAAGCTTTAACCACTTAGCTACCCAATGCTTCCCCCCAGTTGTGATATAGCTTGAATATTGCTTACAAGCGGCGTCATACTTTACTGTTTTCACACAAAACATTTGGACCACTTGACATCAGTATTTACCTGACCAACGTCTAGATCTGCCAGCACTGGAGCTCGTCCGAGCCGCACAGCGTAGTTGCAGAGGAGGCGGCACAGCGTGCTCTTGCCAACATCGGTTGGCCCCACAACAAGCACCTGCACAAACAGCACGTACAACATTAGTGGTGCCAAAAATTACCATATGTTTTGTGCATAGGGATATTCTGTGTTACAACCCCGGGTTTTGTAATACGATGAAAGTTGAAAACGAGAAGCATGTTTTGTTTTAATGTAAATATTGCGAATGTTGGCTTGAAAAATATTTGGTACAACTTCGAAAAGTGTATAGAGGTCCATTAACCTTAGAATCGATTTTCAAATCAAGAAACAGTAAGGTAACATATTTTACTGCTTTATTTCTGCATAATGTATTCCAAACAAGACTGGATCCAGTTGACCACTGTGCATCGATTTATATAACTGTATAACTGTGTTATACTATTTATAGGCCAGTAGGCCGATATTACGCAAATAAACTGTCTGTCTGTCTTTTGTATCGTGAGTCCATGTTTACATTACTGGTACAGCAAATCACCAAACATGTTGTGCATCGTGACACTCACAACCTGAGTACTGTATCGTGAGTCCATGTTTACATTACTGGTACAGCAAATCACCAAACATATTGTGATCGTTAATGCATCAACCCAAAATCTGTAAAGAGTCCATGTTTACATAACTGGTACAGCAAATCACCAAACAAAACTCACAATAAAATCGCGTGAGTCCATGTTGACATTACTGGTGCAAATCACAAACATGTTGTGCATCGTGACAGTAAACCTTACACTGTAACAAAATGGAAAATTAAACCATTCAGTTAATGTTCAGTGGTAGTGTAATTAACAATATTCACAGAATCGATAAATATATATTTATGATCAAGACATTACATGACCATGTATATAGATATCATCGTATATACAATGACCATGTATATAGATATCATGTATACAATGACCATGTATATAGATATCATCGATACAATGACCATGTATATAGATATCATCGTATACAATGACCATGTATATAGATATCATGTATACAATACAATGACCATGTATATAGATATCATATACAATGACCATGTATACAATGACCATGTATATAGATATCATCGTATACAATGACCATGTATATAGATATCATCGCATACAATGACCATGTATATAGATATCATCGTATACAATGACCATGTATATAGATATCATCGTATACAATGACCATGTATATAGATATCATCGTATACAATGACCATGTATATAGATATCATCGTATACAATGACCATGTATATAGATATCATCGCATACAATGACATACCAGCACTGTTTCCATTGATTCTGATAACTTACCCTAGGTCCACGTGAATTTTCAGCATCTGCTTTCTCTCTCATCTGTTCCAGTGCTGCGTGAGTATTTACATACATTACCATGGGTGTCTCCTTGGAAACATACGCAACTTCTGTCTTGCCACTGAGGTTACAAGGTCAAGGCCAATGTTGTGTAAACATGGTAAATCGATACCAAAATCTAAGTCAAAATTTTATATCGATTGGTTGAAATGACTATCAGCACAAGAAGATTAATTCTATTATGATTATACTACTATGACTTTTGAAAACACTCAATCCTATATGGTCAAACAGGTTTCAAATCACAATGTATGATAACCACATACCATTGAAAAAGGGGATTTGATCTATTTAATCATTTCAAATATTCACCCGTGAAGGTTCGGGTTAGAATGAACCTTCAGTAACCCAAGTAACCCAAGCTTGTCGTAAGAGGCGACTAACGGGATCAGGTGGTCAGGCTCGCTGACTTGGTTGACACATGTCATCGGTTCCCAATTGTGCAGATTGATGCTCATGCTGTTGATCACTGGATTATCTGGTACAGACTCGATCATTTGCCACCATATAGATGGAATATTGCTGAGTGTTGCGTAAAACTAAACTCGCTCACCCACTCCAAATATTCACTGTAATTCTTTCCTATTTGTTGTTGATAGACAACTGAAATACCATGTTTACATGTAGGCTACAGTTTGCAGAGTTTATTTCATCATGGTCATTACAATAGTTATAATTCAGTCAGGGCAGAAAACAAATTAGAATCAGTTTCACAAAGTATATTTCAAAAATGAGAGAGAGAGAGATTGCTAGCATGTGTGTATGTTTGTGTGGCTGTGTAGATTGTATAATTTTTCCACCATTTAATTTTATGCTTATCATCTGAGACACAAAGAATCAATGATACAGATACCCATCATCAACCATTCATCACTCTGGGTATAGAGAGTATCCTGACAATGGTAAAAGGATATTTTTATGGTGCAGCCATGCCATGTAAACACGGCCACTTTGGAACCGGCTTGGAACACATAGAGCTTATTTTTGGCTAATTCCGTACCAAACACCTCTGCCATTCCATTGCATAGCTGAAAAACAAGATTTCAACCTTTTTATCACCAAAAATTAAAATCCAACGTTCTGATTATTATAATGAAATAGTATCCTTTTCAATCAAACAGCACTATAACAATGCTCTAAATATCCTGAATACATTTTAATCCCAATGATAGGCTTGTGACGTCATTTCATGGACTTAGGGATATCACAGAAACATATGAGTATTTAAAAAATATAGTGATATATACAACGCCATTTGCCATGTGTGTGTACAAAAGAGTAATGAATGAGTTTCATTTAGTTGAAAAGTCAAACTCAAACCAAGACAATTTTGACCATACAGTTTGTAGTTCTTTTCTTCCATTCAGTAGGGACACAACAGATCGATAGATGAAATGTATACATCAGTCCCTCCTGGATTCCGCGATGAATTTTAAGAATTCTGCGGCAAATTTAAGTAAATTCTGCAGTCTAAGTAAACTTAGGCTCAGTATTATTCGTTACACTGCTTATACTGAGTCTAACAAAACCTAGTAGAAGGTCGCCTCAGGTAACCTTTTCAGTTGACCAATCAGAACACAGCTTACCAAATCGCGAAAGCTGACATTCGCAAATACCTTTTGAACTTTCACCTCGAAAAAGTTTGTACCCGAATGCTATTTTCTGTACAATCGCTTCCGAGTGATGCACATGGAGCACGCCACAGCAGTGAGTAAACAGTAGCTGAACATAGCGTTTTGTCAGTATTCAAGGATGTCAGCTTGCAGACATAATAGCTAATGGTAACCATGTCATCAGAAAGCCCTAAACCTTTATACTGCAGGTCAAATATCTGTGTTTTATACGGATTTTCATTTGAGAGATCAGTGTCAGTGACTGGGAATTTTGTAAGTCCCGCTGAACCCTAAACAGTAGCCGTTGTCTGATTGGTTAAATCCTTTCGGCTGTCTAGCATGTGATTGGACGGTCATAGGTCGCTCAAAGGTTAGCTGACGCGACCTTCTACTAGGGTTTGTCAGGCTCAGTATAAGCAGTGTAACGATACAGAGCCTAAGTTTACTTAGACTGGTAAATTCTGCATTCCATTTTTCAGCAATGTGCAAAAAAGTCTGCAGTAAAAACTTGTAAAAAAACATGATTTATTCTGCAACTGCAGAATTGCGGAATCCAGGAGGGACTGATACATATGTGTGATCACACTTCTCTTTTGTTGTTGAACATGCTTAATTCACAAACAGGGATGTTTTGCAACAGAAAAGAATGATGTCCTCTCTTTCCCCACAACATGGTGCCTGTATTGAACTCATCATGCAGGTCATAAGTAGTGTTGGGAATTGGCTGAAATCTCCCAATTGGTGATTGCTTCACTACCAACGAACAATCACCGGAAAAAATTGGTTAGCGTCATTTTTCAGATTTTCCTATCCAGGTTGTTATTGCAGATATGTACAACATGATGCAGCTTGCTACTTTAAAGTGATGACTAATATGTCATGAACATAAACTTAAGAGAAATATTCAGTCATGACGGTTCAGTTAGTGAAGTGAGTTTTCTAAGAATTAAACTCGTTTCCAGGCCCTGACAATTTCTAAGATATGTTCCATTGTCAAGTATTTCAAAGACTAAAACAGTAGTTCCAAAATCGTTTATGTTCGATTATGAGAAAATGTGATCGATTGCTTGGTCGTTTGGACACTGCGACCAATCTTCGATTATTTCAATTAATCAGAACACCACTAGTAATATGCAGAAAGAAATTAACAAATACGGGTGGTTATTAAGCAATGTTAAAAACACAAGTTAAATGTAGTTTTAGATATCAAGCACTAGTGAAAAACATAATCATGATAAGTTAGTTCAAATGTTGATGAAACTAAAACTTTTAGATAAAAATTACTAAACAATAACTTTTCCTATTTTCCCTGTTATTTCTGTAATATATCTGTGATGTACACAACAAAATATGGACTGATATGTAGCTGGTCAGCCCGAGATGGAACTTGTAAAGATAAAATAATTATAAAATGTCTAGAAATTGGTCAGGGGATCGTTTGGGAGCTAGGCGCTAATGTGGAAAGGTAATACAATTCCACAATACAGTGAGCAAGTAGGATGCTGAGTGTAGCAGTATTCCAGCAATACCACGCAACGGACAACGGAAATGGGCCTTAAATATTGTACCTACACAGGGACTGACTGACTGAGTTTGGTTTTACGCCACTTTTAGCAATATTCCAGTAACATCACAGCGGGGAACACCAGAAATGGGCTTCACGCATTGTACCCATGTGGGGAATCGAACCTGGGTCTTCGGCGTGACAAGCCAACGCTTTAACCACTAGGCTACCCCACCGACCCCCCTAAACAGGGAACTGAACCCAGGTTTGTTTGGTGTTACAATCAAACCTCTAACCATTGGGCTATCCAGCAGTCCCACGCAATACAGCGTATATAAAAGGCCTAAAATAAATTGTTATGATCACCTACTTACCTCTAGGTTCACACTTGCTTTAGATTCCACTTCAAATCTTAATTCAGAAAACTTCTCAAGTTTGTATTCTTCTTTTCTCTGAAACAAGAAACAAATGATCTTATTGCCTCAGCACAAACAGTAAACACTTTTATATATTCAGTTTGACAGTAATGTTGTCACTGGTTATTGGCATAATAAATAAACCCTGTCAGCATGGTAAACACATGTCAATGTATTTGGTTATTGTTACACTGAACATGCTGAGAAGACTGAAACATACTGTTGTATTCATCAGCTGATATTCAGCTAATGATATTTGTTACCAGGGTTTTACGGGACGCGTGATTCCTGCGTATTGGACGGAGAAATTTGATGAAGTACCCCCAAACTAAAATCCTGTGCATCCATGTAGATGCAATATAATTTTTTTCTGGGAAAGAACTTTCTGAGTTAGTAATGATATCCCATATAAAATATAAACAGTCTGTTTACAATCATTATTCTAATGACATTGAAAGTAGCACATATTATAACATAATCATTATCAAATGTGAAGCATCCACGATCATTGATTTCATGCAAATTGATGGACTCACAATTTTGGAAATGGACTCTCAGAATACATATGCTCTGAGTCCCCAGAACTCCCACTATCGAAGAGCTATGTAAAACCCTGTGTTACCCCCTATTTTTGATATCAATAATATGATGGATGTGGGGTAATGAGAGACCTAAATATGCCTAAAAGAGATGGCAACAGGAAATTGTATTTTCAGCTGAACACTTAATATTGTGTCATTGAAAGGGGGATTTGAATTGATCGATTTGAAATCTGCGGAAAATTACCATTCCTGGCCTTAAGAAGGTTTTGAAGGTTTGGGTGTTATTTAGTGGGCTTAGGATTGTTTGTAGCGTTAGGTGTGTGTTACTGTTAAAGGTCACATAAACCCTAGGGGGTACAAATACATAAATCACTAACTGGCATCGTTATAAATGAAACCCCTTCATTAAAACTACTCATTTCGACCTTTAATTGACTTAAATCGACCTTTTTGACAACAGTGCACAATTCTCACCCGCGAACGAAATTTCAACCAATCAGAGCAGCGCGCCTCTGTGACGTCATATGAGGAATAGCTTTGAGAGCCGATGCAGAATTCATCTACATTTTAGGGGGTAAATTATCGTGTTTACAGGCTTGTATAAACCTGAAATCGTGATAATTGTTGTGGAAAATGAAAGCTATATGTTCTCACAATCTACTGTCATTTAATTTTGTCTCCTGCTTTGCCTAGTTTCCAAGTTACAACTTGTTTTCATAGACGATTCTGTCAAAATCGATTGGTGTCGTTAGGCCCTATTTGTATAATGACTGATCCAAATTGATCCCATTTCTGTGTTGTTTTACCTCGATATTTAATCATGTCATGTAAAAATCTGTTTGTATTCTCAAAACAGTGTCGGCCCATAAGTTTTCACATGCAATACAGCAATTAATACTCCCTCGTTGTAACCCGTGTTAGGTGGTATAAACCTACACATGTTATTTGTCATCATTCACTTGATGGTCAGTTAATGAATTTATAACAGGTATAATTAGTGGTAACACACTTAGATTACCCGACAAAGGTTCCCATTTGGCATTTCTTGTGTCTGGAGTAAATATTCAACATTATAAACATCGATCAAAGGATTAACCGATAACACGCTGATTGATTAATTACTTTTATCTTACAGCGGAATTGTCAAAAGGTAGTGTTTATGTATGTAGATTTACTAATCTATACTGAATACACTCTGTCGTGTCAGTGTCTGCGTAAAAACAACGTCCTTCTTTCAAAGGATTAACCGGCAATACATTGATTGATTGCCGATTATTGGCTAACTAAATTACTGTTTTAAAGAAAGGCGGACATTATGCAATTAGTTGCCAGGTGTGCTATTTTGGGTGACCAATGAGACTATACACCAATGTGAAATACCTGAAAAGATTTATCACTTTTTCGTATATTAAACTGTTAAAAGACACATCATTTGGAACAGTTTTGTGGATATTGATGGATACATTCCTCGAACAAGGTAATGGCCTGATATTGTTCCTATAACTTTAATCTGTTTTAATTTTAATATTTGCATTTTGTTTTATTCATTTGTCGTAGCATTCAACAGAATCATTGTTTTTCGCCGTGAAGTGTAATGAGACAGACAACATGCACTAGGGTGTGTGTGCGAATTATGATTCACATTGGCAAACTATAAAATGTCTAGATATTACAGTTCTGTTATAAATTCACTATAAGTATCAGCAGATCGTCTGCTTTTATTTAGTTTCAAAATGCATACAAGTGTGATAATAAACTAATTAGGATTATAAGACCAAATATAAAGGCGCACATTGACTAGTATCTACATACTGGTGAGTGGACATTAACCATGGGAATGTAGCAAGAAATTTATCGCGCAGTATTGTGACTTCGACCCCACCCGGCTTCCGTGGAAGAAATCGTTATGTTATAAGTTGTGTCATGCAAAATCCGTTTGGTTATGATTCCAATACATATTTAACAACGAGTAGAAAGTAGTCTTGATTTTCTAACTTGATGAAAACAAACTATAATCTCATTAATTCTAACAGATTTTTTATTTTTAAAATGATGGCGCCCTGTCGGGAACATCCGCCAGTCTGAGGATAAATGGTATTTAGGTTTGTTTTCACCGAGTCTAAAATCAAAACTACTTTCTACTGGTAGTAAAATATGTATTTTATTGATGGCCAATAGGATTTTGCATGACATATCAAATATATCATAACAATTTCTCGTGGCAGCGAGGTGGGTGTCAATATAATACTACTTACAATATTATTGTTACTTCGACCACAACCTCACTTCCGAGGAAGAAATCGTTATGTTACAAGTTGTGTCATAGAAAATCTTTATGGTCATCAATCGTTATGCATATTTTACTACAACTAGTAAGTAGTTTTGATTCTTTAACTTCCGTGAAGCGATCTGAACACAAGTAAGATATCGTTTCAGGCTTCCACAGCGCGCCGCCGCACTCACAAACATAACCCATTTAGCAGGAACTGCGGGTCCTGTGGAAATCTGTGCATGGGGACACCATCGCCCGACCCTAGGAGCAATTGGCGACAAAGCAAGCGATTGGCGCATGTCGTCGTTGATGTCGAGAAATCATCAAAATGATGAGCGTGCTACACATTTTCTATACAACTAACTGAAAATCGTTCCTCATATGACGTCACTGCAGTGCTCTGGCGACAGAGTTACGTAACCTGTCTGTGGTTTCGTTGGCGGGCGAGAGGGAAGCAGGCGACTTTTTGGCCACTTTTAATCGCTCGGTATTAATTAACCACAAGTTTTTAAAGAATAAATTTGGTGTTCCGCATAAGACTAACCACAAATCTTTCATATGTAATGGTTAAAAGAGTAACAAAAAACAAAGTTTAGTGGTTCTTTAATGTCCAGTGAACCCTAATGTAGCTGTACATTTAGTTTTTTATATCTACCAGTCAATATTAACTGTTGCACAGATCTGTGCTTAGTTAAGTCATGCAAATTACCATGCTTGTCTACTACATTATGTTATCATGGTTATGGGTTTTCGGATACTTTAGAACATTTGATGTTTTCTTAATAACTGTACAAATTACTGTGAAACTTCATCTTAACACATGTCATCGTCTGAGTATTTGCAATGTCTGTGTTAGATAATAAAGCTTGTTACCATTGTTACAGCATGGTAAACATGGTAAACACTGTGGTCTGAAAACATAAGTAATCCACACCCTTCTGATGTCCCCCCTTTGATTTCCCCCTCATCTGCTGACATTTAGGCAAACCCAGATGTAGCAATGGACTGATGACTACACCTCAGAAATAAACCCAATTGAACTGAATGCATGTGATATTCATTATTTAGTTCATCATGTTTATCAAAACAATTATGGCAACACAGCAATAAGTAATATTATTAAGTACTGTCTTCAGTGCAGGTTCATTCTTAGTGTAATTATTGATCCAGGTTGCTTCATATTGTGTTAACAGCATGGATTATGTATAAGTTTTAATTGGTTAACTGTACACATCTAGTAAATAGTATCAATCTGACCTTTTTTGCAACAGAAGCACGACTATTTGATACTCCATAGGTAATATATCTTATTTATTTCATCTCTGGCTTGTGAAAATTATGTGTAAAGGCAGCACTACTGGCTCACTTCATTTTCAATTTATTTAACTAGATATTGTCACCATGGCTATTCGGTCAAATATAAAAGGTAAAACAGTAATTTATTCCACAAATGACCAGTAGCTATATAGATCATATTTAATAATCTATTGTACCATGTTGTTGTCAGTGATTGTTAAAGTTACAAAAACCAAGATAATGACGGACGTTCTAACATTGTTCGTACTATATTTTTCTTGTATAGTTTGTGTATTACCTGGCTACGCAAATATTAATTGCCTAGCTGATGTCAGCTATGGAAATATTTCATACCGGTACATTGAATTATGAATAATGAATTGATATCTGGAGGCAAACATGATATGGGTGGATCCATATGGACTATAAGCCGGATCCCTTCTAAATATTCTAACAACTACGTGAAACTCTTCACTTTGTGACAACATACCTCTTCTTTATCGTCTGCCATGGCTTAGATTTAATGTTGTTCCCTTGCTTGTACTGATACTGTTTTTATTTGTTTACGGGTTGCGCCTCAAACGTGACATTCTATGGGCGCGGCCATGTTTTATCACGTGACGCCCCATTCGGACTTTTTCGTCTCTTTCCGTAAAATTGATGACAGTGTGGTATTTTATAACACTTCTGGCCCTTTCAACTTGGAGTTCGTACAAAGACGGCTGCAAAGGGCTTTTGGTGGTGGGATGTGTAGGGGGATGGGGTGAACAGGATATGTGTGATTGGTATAATCAGGGAGACTATTAGACGTGTTGTAGATTATCCCTGGTACAATCAGGGGCGGATTTTGGAGAAGAGGGCAGTGTTTGTCCTTATCACTGAAAAGCTGCAGGCCCTATGGATCCAGAACCATACAGATCGTAACTCAGTAATCTAAATCGCTTCCTCAAAAATTATAACCCGAATCTTTACGGATGACATATATGAGCCGTCTCGAGACCAGCGGGGTAAAAAGTAAATGCTTTCGACAGGATCACGTGCTTTCGCACAGAATGTACAATCTGTTTGAAAGTCGACGGCTGTACGTTTGTTGCAAGTCACAACCCGGTATGAATTCATTTGGTGGGAGCTTGTGATCCCTCTATGTGTGTTCAGTATTTTCAGTAAATATTCATAAAACATATTTTTTCCTCCGGTTTTACACACGCATACGCATTTTCATTGGCTGTCCTGAAATTTAAGTTCAAATAAGATCATTCTTTAAACACAGTGTGTTGCTGTGACAAAGTATCCTGTTTCTAACAGAATTAATATGGATGTATTGGTGCTTTGACCTATAAACTATTGGGGCTAGTATGTTCCGACTTCGAAGTAAAATCTTACAAGCGTCTTGAGTCACACCAATATATTTTTATCCGGCTTACTGATACAAACACATTGATCTGAACACGCACGCACGCACACACGCACGGACAAACACACTGAGGCTGTCCTAAAATTAAGTTTAATTAAGATTGTTTTGACTTTGAGAACAACAGTGTGTCCTGAAACTGTGATAAACGGGTGTACCATTTCTAAGACACGTATCATCTTTTTTGTCTCTGAACTATTCAACAATTTGGTAGATGTGTGCGTATTCAAATCTCTAAACCGCTGGGACCTGTATGCAGTGTGCGAAATAGTTTCCATTGTGCTAGACAGTCGGGCTAGCTATGCCTGAAAGTTACTAACCCACAAATAATTCACTGGCTCGAAGTGTGAATGAAGACACGGGTTTCATCTTTAAGCTGCGAAGATGATGAACATTTTTGCCAGGCCATAATCTTGCATGATTTAAAAGTGTGGTATAACTTAACTCCCAGAGACATCTGATGCTGACAGACCAGGATTCATAACCAGGGCCTAGATTTTCGAAGCTCTCTCAGCCCTAAGATAGTCGTAAGTGTCATTCATCAACATTAACTTACGACTATCTTAGCGCTAAGAGAGCTTCGAAAACTAGGCCCTGGGCGTATCTGTTCAGACTGCTGTACCTTTGACTGAATATAGTTGCCATTAATCAATTAAAAAAGTCAAGGAACAATTATTTATCGCGTCTTTCAATTCCGATATTAGGGTGTTAGCCAATGCTATATTTATCTTAGCATCCGTATGGTAACGTTGCATCCGTTACCTAGGACTTTCCTCTATGTGCACACATTATAGCTACACAATTCTGTTATATAAATGTTCGGCGGTGGGGTAGCCTAATGGTTCAAGCGTTCGCCCGTCACGCTAAAGATCCGGATTCGATTCCCCACATAGGTACAACGTGTGAAGCCCATTTCTGGTGTCCCCAGCCGTGATATTGCTGGAATATTGCTAAAATCGGCGTAAAACCTAACTCACCCACTCAATTCAATTTAAATGGATTTATTTGTTACTATAAAAATTATATATATTCAGAGACTTAGTGTTAGTCTCAGACGCGGCTTTGCGGAGTTACGTCCCTTCAGCGTGGCAGGATCCTCTGTTCCTAAGGTCGAATCACAGTTCGCTGTTATGTTTATTGATGTGTTGGAACCATGCCCCTGTTTCAAAGCAGTAAAGGATCTACGTGACCTTGTTATATTTGAGATTACACTTTCTCACCTTTTCTGTGTACTCAGCAGAGGGATACACAAAGTCCGTGGTATAGACTACCAGTTGTCTGACTTGACAATTTTTGTGGAAGTCGCGGTGGCTGAGTCGGTTAGGCGGCTGACTTTATGTGCTGGCTATTAGGTGCCTGACTCTGAGGGTGTGAGTTTGAATCCCGGATGGGACTCAACCCAACAAAACGTTCTAGAATCTGTACTTTACTAAGTGTAATCACTATATATAACACGTGTTCTAAAGAACAATACTGCCTGACGTCAAATGACTCTATATTGCCCTGGGCCCCGTTCCGCTAAGCGATCCCATGCAGCGCTACAACGATCCTAAGCCTATGTTAAAGTATGGGTTATGATCACTTATAACGTTATGACCGCTTTTTAGAACGTGGGAATAACCAGTGAGCTACGAGGAATTAAAGCCTGATCTACCTTGAGTGAATGAATGGTGTGTAAACCCCGAGCCTTCCCGACTGACTTATGGCATTCATGCGAGAAGACTGGTGATCCACTCTGTGGTTCCGATTGCCTGGACTTATTCTATGTGCCGAATCTAATGAGTGAGTGAGTGTGTTTTCACAATATTGCAGCAATATCCTAAAAGGGGGCACCAGAAAATGGGCTTTACCCAGTAGGGAACGAACCCTTCGATTACTTCGGCACTAGACGACACCATTCAGCGGTACTGACTGTTCGTAGCGTTATTTGTTCAAAATTAAGAAATAAAAATGTCCGACCACCTAGCAAGTCCATTTTGTAACCGAAACCAAACAATTATTATCTGATTGGCTTCAATATGATTTGCGCTTATTTATACACGCAAATAACTTGTTTGCAAATCCGCGGGTTTGCACAGCTTGAACACTGGATTTTACATGTTTACCTGAATAAACCCGTAAATATATTGAAGCCAATCCTTTAAGGTCAGCACTGATAATTCCACAGAGAGCGTATTGAATCAGGCAATAGTCGGTCCCTATGTCAAACTGAGCTATGGTATTCCAGTGCCCGAACACAATAAAACAGGATTAGTCGGACGAGTACAAGCAGGTCCTACGTAGACATGATCGTGCACGTTGTACTGACGCGCCATGATTGTGACTGTGACTGTAAACCGCAATTAACCTCACCAATGTATTCTTTCAATACATCCGAAACCCGGATTGTGAAAATCTCCTCACATGGTCCCGGGTGTCATGGGTTGTGTGGAGTTTATGTGACGAGGTCTTCGCACGAATGATTTGTTCAATATTCAGTGAAGGGTCAGGTTACATGTAAATTGTTAAGCTTTGGGTTAAAATCAAGGAATAAGAGCATATAAACATTTTAAAGCATGTCTTGCTTGAAAATTGCTTTCAATGGCTAGTGACCATCGTACGATTCTGTTGCCGACTGTACTATGAGCATATGTATGTAAATCAATAAAAATATTAATGATACGAGCTGTTAGTGAAAATAAACTGTTATTCGCTGATATGAATATATGATCTTTACAGTTATGTCTTGTTCACGGCTATGTCTACAACGAACGCCAAATTCATATATATGCAAGACACGTTTTGCCCAATACGACAGCTCATAAAATAGAAGACAATAGAAGCGAATCACACGACTGGACCGATTCGGTCCTCATTGTGTGTAGGGGCGGCGTGGGTAGCCTAGTGGTTAAAGCGTTCACTCGTCATTCCGAAGACCCGAGTTCGATTCCCGACATACATATGTCGGTAAGGCTCTGCTTTTCGTCGCTTTTAGCAATATACCAACATTACCTGGCGGGGACCCAGAAATGGTGCCCTTGTTGGGAATCGAACTTGGGTCTTCCGCGTGACGAACGAACACTTTAACCTCAAGGCTTCCCCCTGCCAATGTAATTTCAGAAAGTGCGTCAGTAATAAATGGTCTCGGTTAGGTGTAGACAACCCAAGTGAGTGAGTAGGGTTTTATGCCGCTTTTGCAGTGGGTTCAGAAGTAATAATGTATACTGATTATGAAATGCCAAGAGGGATTGAGTATGGCTTTACGCCAATTTTAGCAATATTTCAGCAAAATTAAATGGGCTTCACACATTGTACCCTTGTGGAGGATCGAACTCGGGTCTTCCGTGTGACGAGCTTATGCTTTAATTATTATGCTTCCCCACTGCCCCTTAGACAAACCAAGAGTGGTGCAGCTTGAGGGATTCAGCTAGTCCCCAGACCCATATGTATCGAAAGTAACAGAAGGTCTGTGTAAACAAACGACGCCATATGACATAAAATACAAAAATACTGTCTATTTCAACATGTTTTATTCAGTTTGGCACAATATGAAAAATAGCAAGCATCGATTTACGCCTGACAGCCAACTTGGTCCAATACAGGTTTACATCTCAGTGTAAAAGCCTATTAGTTCTGACATTTTGTTCTTCTTCATTTGGTCAACTTGGATTTCATGTTGAATCGTGGGGAGTGCTGATGGAGTTGTGCTTAATACTCCTCACCCTCCTCCTCTCCCTCGCCCTCAACAGAGTCGACTCCAACCTCCTCGTAGTCCTTCTCCAGGGCAGCCAAGTCCTCACGGGCCTCGGAGAACTCTCCCTCCTCCATACCCTCACCCACGTACCAGTGGACGAAGGCACGTTTGGCGTACATCAGATCGAACTTGTGGTCAAGACGAGCCCAGGCCTCGGCGATGGCGGTGGTGTTGCTCAACATGCAGACAGCTCTCTGGACCTTGGCCAAATCACCGCCGGGGACAACGGTAGGTGGCTGGTAGTTGATGCCGACCTTGAAACCAGTGGGACACCAGTCGACGAACTGGATGGTTCTCTTGGTCTTGATGGTGGCGATGGCAGCGTTGACGTCCTTGGGGACGACATCACCTCGGTACAACATGCAGCAGGCCATGTACTTGCCGTGACGGGGGTCACACTTGACCATCTGGTTGGCGGGCTCGAATGTAGCATTGGTGATCTCAGCCACAGACAGTTGCTCATGGTAGG